TTCATTTATTTCATTTATTTCATTTATTTCATTTATTTCATTTATTTTATTTATTTTATTTATTTTATTTATTTTATTTATTTTATTTATTTTATTTATTTTATTTATTTATTTATTCTTAGGAAGGTTTACAGCATTTTTTAATATTAATTTATAAACTGAATGTAAACTTATAAGCCTATTAAAAACCTCCACATATGAAAATCTATATACAAAAGCATATGTTAACACTAATTGCTAATCCTACATACGCATATACACTTTAGTTTAATTTAGTTAAGTCCAATAATAATATTAACGACATAAATATATACATATCCTACTATACTATTTAATACATATATATATTCAACATAACAAGATTTATATACCTACCATTGACTTACATACCTACTTATAATTTTAGCATACCCACCATATCTAAAATATTTACCAGTTATTGCCTTTTAAAATAATTCAAACCCACAGTTCTCTTTATAGATGTAGTGCTAGACGCAAATAAATCAAAGTCATTATCGGTGCTATACTTGTTAAAGATTTTACAGCTACGTACCATGAATGCATTTTGCCTGTAATTTGTGCGGACATTTGGTAAGTGAAGCAGAGGACGCTGCCGCAAAGCCAGTGCGTTAGCACGAAGACCAATCATGGACAGCAATTCCGGACAGTCAATTTTACCATTTACCAGTTTAGATAAGAGACAGATGTCATTTATTTGCCGACGCATTAACAGTGGCAAGAAGTGGTATCGCTTACATCGATGCTCATAACTCAGCGACTTTTGTTTGGCCCTAAAGTCAAGAAAACGCAGAAATCGTTTCTGTATCGACTCTATCCTATCAATATAAATACCATATTGCGGATTCCACACTTGAGACGCGTACTCGAGAAGACTTCGCACGAAGGTGCAATATATTACTTTAATTGCCTTCAAAGATTTTAAATCACTGGACATTCGCATCACGAACCCGAGGGCCCTAGAGGCCTTACTAGCAATATGATTGACATGATCCTCGAAAATGAGCTTGCTATCATGTATGACACCCAAATCTCTTATTTTATTAACTCTGGTCAAACTGTGACCCTGGAGGAAATAATTAGATCCTATTACGTTGGTCTTACGTGTGAATGTCATACAGAAACACTTTGGAACATTAAGATCTAACATATTTAAGATACAGTATTATTCAAACCGCAGAAGATCTAGCTGCAGAACATCGACATCCTCAGAACAGCCAATTATTTTAAGAATCTTCATGTCGTCTGCGAAAAGAATGGATTTTGAATTTAAGAAACATTTACCGATGTCCATTATAAAAATTATGAATAACAGCGGACGGAATTGACCCCTGGGGCACACCAGAAGATATTTGTATATATATTATATCAAAGCCTTTCCGCATGCGTATGCGGATGACACAACTATTATGTGACAATTTGGTATTTGCAGCTAACAGAGTTCATTTATGTAACATAAAAAGAGATCCTTATAAGATTTGGAACAGAAACCGTATCGAAGGCGTTCGCGAGGTCAATAAACACAGAAATACATTTCTTTCCCCTTATCAAGCTTTTTAACTAAAAAATCTGTGAAATCGTAGGCAGCATCATCTGTGGATTTATGTCTTCTGAAACCGTACCGAGTTTTCGCAAGAATACTTTGGGTTTCTAGGAAACCAATAAGTCTCTCATTGGTAATACGCTAAAGACCTTAGAGAGGGATGTGAAAATGGAAATAGGAAAATGGAAATGGCCTATAGTTATTAGCGCATTGTCTATCTCCGGCCTTGTAAATTGGGTGAGCAATAGATATGTTAAAGGCTTCAGGAAAAGTACCCGTGTTAATGCAGCGGTTTTTAATGTCAGTAAGAACAAGAGTAATGGTGACAGGTGAAATCTGTTTCAAAATCTTCGCTGAAAAACCACCCAGTCTGGGGAACTGCATGTTTTAAGATTAACAATCTCTCGCTCAATCGCCTCACAATAAGTTTCAAGAAAAACAAACGAGGATTGGGGATTGGAGTGTGTTTGAGGGTGACCAAAGGTTTTTGAAAGGGGTAAGTAACATTAGATGGGATATTTTCGGCAAGGTGTTTACCTATACCCGCAAAGAAATGGTTAGTTGCATCAGTGGAGGATTTTGGGGAGTCCACAGTTGTTAGGAGTTCATGTTCCTTATGCCCTTCAGCCGGCAAGCGGGGCTCTGCGGGCTGTGACCTTTTAATTCCCCAGCTACTCGTGGGATGTGTATAGAGACAGAAGAAAATAACATCAACACTTTAATTTCCTCCTTGGAGGAAATATTGACTGGTATGGGTAGTCCACCCAGCAACAATGGCGAGACTTCGGTCACGCCCACGGATACGAACCAGGATGGTCCTTCGGATCCTTTGGTGTCGGAATCCAGCGCTTAGCCGCGTATTCGGCTGAGCGGTTCTCCCAGCAGAGACTGCGGGGCCTGATGAGAATAGGTATGAGTTATGCGGAAGTTTTGCCTCTATCTGAAAAGCCTTGGAGTGAAATTCCGGTGCCTAAACCACCTCCACAACCGAAAGCGCAAAAGCGCGATCGGTCAGAGGAGACGTCACCCCAGGGACACGTGAGGAAGGCTCTCAGGACCATGGCGCCAGCTGAAAGTGGGGATAGACCCACTTTTAGCGAAATGGCGGGTTCCCTGCTCTTGGGTATCCGGAATTCGAAACCTATGTCCCGGGAGCAAATGAAACTTGTTGAGCTGTTTCTGGTCCGCACCATTGCGAATACAACATCGCATGGCGAGGGACCAAAGTTCCTGGGCGTCTCCCACAAGCCAGGCTAGATCTTTGTGACCTGTAGAGACCAAGACAGTGCAGACTGGCTTAAGGGAACGATCAACAACCTCAAGCCGTGGCCGGAAGCTCAGTTATCCACAATTAAAGAAAACGAGCTTCCTAAGCCCACCACTGCCACCACTTACATTTCAAAAAAGGGGTACACTGCCACAGTCATGGCACTCAATGACGGCCTTGGGGACCATGGTTTTCCGCAACGAACCCGCGTGGCCGAGGTACGGCACGTGAAGGTGTACAGCAAGGGCGTGGGACTGCCAACCCGCGTAAAGCACGAGGACGGCCACGTCCTCCTCGTAGCGGTTGGGGGCAGAATCGCGGCCGGGGCTTTAATCCCCGCTAAATGGCGCCCAAGAGGGAAAGGGTGAGGTGAGGAAACCTCCACCATGTCGTGGCTGCCACGGCTGTGGTGGAGTGTTGCTTTGCGAAAGGCACCGTGGATGTCGCCCTCATTCAGGAACCCTGGGTTAACCACATAAATATAATGGGACTCAATACCGCTGGTAAGTTGATTTACAACACTTGTGGGAGTAGACCCAGAGCTTACATTGCTTATAACAAAAACATTAACATTATGCCTGTTCCAGAGTTCTGTGCTGATGACTTGATGTAGCGGCATATTTACTTCCCAGGGGTAGCACTCAGGCCAATATAATAGTATGCTCAGCCTACCTACCCGGAGAAAAGAACTATTCCACGGAAGATTTGACACGACTGGCGGAATACGCTCGGCAACACAAGACTGATATTCTGGTGGGATGCGATTCCAACGCTCACCATACCGCCTGGGGGAACTCCAACATCAACAACCTCTAGAGTTATTATATGACTTTATCCTATCGAATGGCCTGTATCTTAATAACGAAGGATGTACACCAACTTTTGTTACTAGGTCAAGACAAGAAATTCTGGATATTACTTTCTCCACAACTAGACTAGCCGAACTTATAACCGGTTGGCATGTTAGTGAGGAAACTTCAATGTCAGATCATAAACATATAAGATTTGATCTGGGGACAGAAGGTGTCTGCCGCCTCATCACATTTAGGAATCCGAGGGATACTGCCTGGGATGTCTACAGAGAAAGTCTAGGGCAGTATCTACAGTGGTGTCCTAAATCGATCAAAACCACTCAAGAGCATAATCAGCGCTTTCGAGGAAAGGTGTCTGCCAAAAATTCGGACCTCCTATAGGAAGGTTCCGTGGTGGAACGCCAAACTCAGGAAGCTAAGAGAGAAAACTCGAAAACTCTTAAATTGGGCCAAAATAACGAAGGAATGGGAGACATACAGGAAAGCCCTAACCAATTATAATAAGGAGATAAGGAAGGCCAAGCGAGGGTCGTGGAGGCGGTTTTGTGAGGAAATCGCTGGTGCTCGTCAAAGTGCACGTCTTCATAAAGTGCTCGCCAAAGTCAATTCTCATCAACCAGGACTGTTAAAAAAGCCTGATGGGACCTATTCAACTTCTACAACAGAAACCCTTGAGTTTTTAATGTCAGCCCACTTTCCGGGGGCCTTGTATGAGTTACCCACTAGCCCAGCAATGACTTTGACTTTTGAATGAATGAATTCGTAGTCCTAGCATAGTGCGCGGGCAACGCCAAGCGCGTGGGTGTGCTACTATATTTTGCATACATTTCTGCATTCTTCGGAGACAGCGGTCTCGTAACCGCGGCGGGCGCGGGTGAAAACCGCTCCATGAGTTCTTAGCCTTAAGGTATCTGTCAGCCTGTTCTGTCTGTCACTGTCAAAAACAGGAGATGGGGGGTCCTCATAAGGGTGGGGGAGAGAACAAGGCACAATAAATATGAAGAAGAGTAAGAAATAGTAGTGGTCATTCATAGTGTTCTGTGGTAGTGATAAAGAGTGGCTTTTAAGTAACTATTTTAGAAATTTCCTCAGTAATTAATGTTAATTTAATCAACAATAAAAATGAGTTGCGTGCAATGTGGTGGGCCTTCACTATATAAATGCCCTACGTGTAGGCAACCGTAGTAAGTATAATCTATAATTCTAATCATTTCAAGCAGAATTTTATTATCAACATAGTAGCATCCGAAACATCAAGATTTTTACCGAAATATTCAAATGAATAAGGAATGCAACAATTTAATTAGCAGAGCGAAACTTAGGTTATGTCTATATGTATTTCGTAAAAGTACGGTATTGTTTGTATATTCTAAGTTCTCTAATTTAGTGCTAATAAAGGTCGGTAGCTAATGCGCACATGACAACTAACATACTATCATCTACCTTAAAAATTGCGTTGTATTATATTTTATTTCAAAAACTGCGTTCTATGTATGTAATTCGTATACGATTTAAAATTTGGATATCAAAGTGACAGGATAAAACTGTTACGTTGAAATAAAATCTTTGAGATAAATATAATTAAAACACAATTTTTGAGATAAACATAATTATTATGTTATTTATTAACAATGTGTACATGTAACTGCAATGTACACATAGTCGTCTTTTTGGAAGACGGAGTTGCCTGTTTTCATAAAATAAATAGTCATGTTAATAGTTGTTATCAATAGTTTTATCAATGGATTGTGAAAGGGAAACTTTTGCCAAAAATGTCTGAATTGTGGATGTTGATGATTACCAATTGCATTATTGCCTCCTTTGTTTTTCTTTTGACAGTTGGCCTATTATTATCAAACTCAATTAAATTCACATAGGTACAGTTTAATAAGAACATGCAGATTTATCTGTTGAAATAAAATTAAAAACTTCAAAATATGTCTCCTCTTTGTTTTTTAATAGATATAGTCCTAAATAGCCATTTAAACGAAAAGCACTTCAAAGTCTGCTTTTTTAAATAAGCGCATAAGCACGCTTTTCATTTTAAGAGTAAGCGTTGGTCACTGGCATGTTGCAAGCTTTTTTAAACATAAAGTCTATGCACTTAAACGGTTTTCTAAAGGACTTTTTAAGCATCAAACTAAAAAGCGTCTAAGTGAAAAGCGCTTTTATAAGCACGCTTTTTAAAAGTGTTTTTACATAAAAAAATAAGCACTTTTTTGCATTTCAATGGTTAACAACTACTACCTTATGTTTTTGAATGCTTTTAAACGCCAATGAACAAAATGTTTATATATTAAAATGTTATGTCATAATAAAAATATCGTTTCGTACAATTAATAAAAAAAAAATTTCGTTCGATTAATAAAAATATCGTTTTTTACAAAAAACTTACTTATCTTAAAACCTTTAGTGGTCTACTCTTGCGCTTCGCTATCATCACAACATTGCAAGCTTTTTTTAACAAGAAACTCTATGCGCTTAAACATTTTCTAAACGATTTTGTTCGCTTCAAACTAAAAAGCATTTAAAAAAGCACTCTTTAAAAAAAATCATAACATTTAAACGTTTTTAAAAATAAGCAGGTTTTCCCATATCTAGTCCTAAATGCAGCGTACGTATGTTTAACTTAAAAAAAATTATCAACTGCAATCACTAACTTCTTGCAGGTGGGCAACACTAAGCAATGCTATAAAGGGTCGTATTCTAGAACTGTACTCGATGCTCAAGTCAGGATTTGAGTATGGCTTAAAGCACTCGAAATCATACTCAAGTCCCTGCCATTAGGGTCGTATTTCCAGTGCTTGTGTTGCCAGTGCAATCCTGACTTGAGCATTGAGTAGAGTTCTAGAATACGACCCATAGAGTTAAACTTATTTTTTATAATAACTTTTACTTCTTAACAAACTTTGTAACAAGAATATAAACATGTAGTACTTACTCTATATATACACTTCCAAATCGATTGAATGAATCCAATCCACACTAAGTGCCAACAGCAACTGATACAAATTGGACAACAGATGAAACTTAATGATTGCCAATTGATTAAGAAAATAGTTGTACTATACATAGGTACTAGAAATATAAATAATAATCTACAAGTGTAACCACTTTATGGTGGTAGGTACTTTATCTTGGTGAGTATAAGATCACTGCAACAATGCTTACAAATCACTGTTTTATCTTTTACAGCTGTTCGGTAGCATGTTGCAAGCAACATAAATTGACACCCTGCTCGTTACCTCCAGGCCCAAAGAATGTGGAAGATCGAATTGAGACTAGGTTAACATATGACTTTCCTACAGAAGACACTGTTGCTCCAGAAAAATTACTATTACTAGGTTAGTTACACATCTACTTTAGTGAAATAGCCATCATAATTGTTAGAAGTAAAATTATTTAAATTTCTAATTCCTAACCTTACTGTTACAGAACAATCTGCAGAAATAAAACAGTGCCTAGAAAATCCGCATGTTAGAAAAATATTAGAATTACTTGACAAGTCGCCACATCCAGACCAACTCATGCAAGAGTACATGCTAGAACCTATTTTCACTGAATTTGTAGATGCATGTTTGAAGGTTGTGGAACCACCCGAAGAAGTCAACAGTGCATAAAAACAAATTAGAGGATGCAAATAAAAGTGCACTTTACATTCCATGCCATTTTTTTATTACAACAGAAACATTGAATTCATTCATACAAAAATAAAATAATTTATATGAGAAAGAAGTAATTTGAATATTGTTACATGTTAATTAGAAAGAGCAGATTTTAACAAATTCTCAAGCTCCATAGATTTCTTTCTCTCTAAATCAATTTGCTCTTCAAGCTGTTTCACAGCTTCTTTGCAATTATTATAATTTGTTATACTCTTTTCAACTTCTTTAACATTTTCTTCAACCATTGTGGAATCATTATCTAATAACAATACATACTCCATTGACTCTACGGCGATTTTTCGCCTTTTGGCTATGATAAATTTATCCACATCATCATCACGCTCTAAAAATTTGTGTTTCATCTTTGATAAAACTTCAATTTCGTAAAACCAGTGAGAGTTTCTATAATCTTCTAGTGCTGATCTTTCGTAGATAGCAAATCTGTTATCAAAATTATTCAGTCTACAAATTTTTTCATACACTATTATATTGAGAAAATCAATTACATCATACTGTTCAAAGAATTGGCTGAACTGCTCACAAGGCATATCCAAATCCGAAAACTGATTTGGTAAAACTGCCACTACTTTACATATTACTTCTTCAGGGTTTTTAAACCATCCAATTTGATTGCAGTAGTTACGTATTTGATTCTGCATACTAGGAACATCAACTGGTTTAAATTCTGATACTGGATCTGGGAGTTTCAGCTTCCGCATCATGTCGCGGATAGCAGAAGTGTTGCCGGAATTTTTCGCACTAGTGGTTATAAATTCGTAGGGTTTTGGATAAGGAGATGTGTGATCTAAGAAATCCTTAAATTCCAACGGAAATTGAGGGTAATTAAAAAGATCCTCATTTGTAATAACACCTGTGAGTTTATCAACAGCTGTATTGTAACAATTCACCAATCTGTGCAAGTCTTTTAGTACATCCCTCACTCTTCCATCCTTATCTGATTTCAACCTATACCATATTTCATTGCCTAGATACCTCTGACATATTGATTTTAGATAATCAGTCTCAAGTGGAGGGATTTCAGGGTATTTCTTTGAAAGCCATTTTAATGCAGTCTTGGTAGTAACACTGAGTGAATCAAAAATATTTTTAGGGTCTACAGTGAATATCTTGAAACTTGATATAACATTTTTGTGAACTAAATTTGCAAGAATTTGCTCAACAGCACTAAACTTTGACAAGTTTTCCATTTCTGGCAAAATTACAGCAACAGGAATCACTTGATATGCATATTTATGCTGCAACATTTCTTCGATTGTCTCAGTCAAGTTGGAATTATTTTCAGTATCATAAAACAAAATACTATTTGTTCCTTCAATAGCTTCATTGGAGATATTCTTGTTATCTTCATTATTTGTTAAGCTAACAGAAATGGCAAAATCCATTAAGTTGTTCCATGACTGCTTTCTTACGTGAATTAAACTTTCCGATACTTCATGTTGCTGTTTGTCACTAAATGCGTCAATTAACCATTTTTCTACCTCTATCTTTTTACATAACCATTTCATCTGACCAGGAGAAACCAAAGTAACTTTCCAAAAGAAACACTTATCATATGGATAGCTAATTTGTTTCATTCGTTTTAGCAAAGGGGATTTTATGATTTCCATTATATTGAAGGGTTTGGGGGATGGCAACTGTCTCAATTCACCAGTGAATTTATAACCCCTGTGTATAGCATTCATATTTATTAAAGCTGCTTGCTCGACAGCACGTCTTAAATATGCTGCTTCTTGAATATGAGTCTTATCAGGCAGCCAAACAGGTGTATCTTCCAGCAGGCCTCTTTGTTTTAAGTTTTTGAATAATTGTTTTCTCCAAATATAAAACCACTTCTTTTTTAATTTTTCCGTCCTGAATTTCTCTGCTTTTATTTCAGAGTGACATATTTCATCACAGAGCTCAATACAAATCTCCTCAGTTAAAACATCAGCACATGTCATTAATTTTTTCATGTTTTCAACTTCGTCTGTCAAGAATGCTCTCACTGTTTCATCGTTAACTTCATTGACTAGTTCTTCTATAAGCTCTGCAGATTCCTTTTCAACTCTCTCTTTGTATTTCTTTTTTTCTTCTTCAGCCTTTCGTTTCAGCTCAGCTATTCTTTCTTCCTCTAGTTTTCTACTGAGCTCTTCTCGTTCTTTCTTTCTCTTTTCTTCCAGCAATCTTAGTTCTTCTCTTTTTCTTTTTTCCTCTTCTTTGCGTTTCTCTTCTTCCTGAAGCCTCCTCTCTTCTTCTCTTTTTTGTTCTTCTCGTCGTCTTTGTTCTTCTTCAGCAAGTAATTTTTTCTCGTGTAATTTTCTCTCTATTTCTTCTTTCATTCTTTGTTCGTGTAGCTTTTCTGTATCATCTTCATTCTGATTGAATTCATAAACAGTACTTTCAGATTTTTTTACCGAATTAAATATGTTATCTGCAACTGATGGAGCTTTGTTTTTGCTCTGAAATATTGTATAATCTTTGCCTTCGGCAGAGTTCGCACTTTTGAAGAAACTACCAGGAGATGAACTTTTACTTGCATCTCCATTTGTCGAGAACAATGACTTCGATTGATTAGCAGCTGCAAATATATTTGAGGCATACTTCGTATCATTATGTTTTGCAGCAGCTTGTGCGAAAATATTACTAGCTTTTTCTTTGTTTTCAGATTCTTGTGCCGCTTTAGCAAAAATACTGCTGGCTTCCTCGGTTTTATTAGTGGAGAACACATCAGGTTTTCCAAACACATTTCGACCACTTGCCATATCATCTTTATTAGTAAATAAATTGCTTTTCACTACACTTCCAAAAATACTCTTATTTGTGTCTTGTTTTGATACATTTGAAGTTTGGCCAAATATGCTGGGTTCAGGGTTTCTAAATACAAACTTTTCAGTTTTAAAAACATTTTGGGCGTTTGGAAAAGGATCTATATTTTCATTGCTTTTTTTTTGGAACAAAACATTACTTTGAGCAAGTTTGTCCCCAAATAAGTTTTTGCCTAATGCAGCTTTTAATGTACTCGCCTCTTTATCAACAAACAAATTGTTAGATTTTATTGTCTCTTGCGGCTTCGAAAAGGAGAATAGCTTTTTGGAATCATTTTCAAACATTTTTTTTGTCGAGATCGAGATAATATCGGTAGGAGCAACAGGAATCGCTGGTTTGAATGCAAATAAATTACTTTCTCCGTTCACTTTCACTGGTGGCATAATACTGTTAACTTTAGCAGACGCCGCAAAAGTATTTAAGGGTTTCCCTGGACTTAAACTTCTAGCTTCTGGTTTAATAAAAAGATTGGTTTTCGAATCACATTTTTCAGCATTCACAAAAACTTTCCCACCTTGAGCTAGCCTTTGAATTTCTGCTTTCAAAGCACTAACATCTTTGTTACTATCGTTAACTGTATTATAGCCTTGGTCTTCTGCAATAAGTGCAGCCTCTTTCAATCTACCATCTTTGCCGAAACTCGTATAGATAGTATGATTTTTATAGTCATAGTGAGAGAGATGACCTCCAGCAATTACCTCGCCAACACTGGTTAATCTTTTAGACTCTATAAGGTGGATTGCTCGCGCAATCGGATACGGATTGCTGTCTTCGATAAACTGATTTCTGTCCAGAATAACAGTAATTTCTGCTACATCTTTGCCGAAACGCAAACCATAGTGGTTGACGAAAGATTTCATGCTTTCAACAGATTCAAAGGCAAGTGCACTCATGAGATCTTCAGCAGGATAGCGGGATCCTCCTCGCGGAGCATAAGCTTTCACAATCCTAGCCAAAGCTCTAGCTCTAACGTCATTGAAATAACGTAAAAGAATGCACGCTTGCAGATATGTCGCCTTCTCCTTGACCAATCTGAAGAATCTTACATAGTTGTTATTGTCCAAAGCATTGAATACTTTAATGGCGAACATAATACCTTCAGACTTTTGTATAACGAGGGGAAGCTGTTTAATCTGAAACAAATAAATCTTTACGTTAATAAAAATCAAGTTTAATAGTATTATGTCTACAAGAGCCATGTACACAAACCAACAACCCTGTACACAAATAAATTTACGACATTATACTAACCTCCCACCAGAAATTAGCGTCTCCAAGATTCAGTAACGCAATATATCCTCTGAATTCAGCTTCACATGGTTTCATATCTGGTTCTACGTCGGCATACATATGTTTGAGTGTTTGAAGGCACTTTGTAAGATTGTCTGTGTTGAGTTTCTGATCAAATTGTGTATGTTCAAGATCCGCAAGGCGAGCCGCGCAATGTGCATGAAACCGGGCGCACATTTCTACTAGGCGGATAGATACTGAAACAAAATCAATAACATTGTCAAAACCATGTCCCACATGACAACTAACATAGTATCATCTCAAAATGGCTTTAATTTATATTAATATTACCTATTTAGTTTCAAAGCGATAGTATTGTCCTGTCACTTTGAAATTAAATCGTTTATGAATGACACATCAATGTAGCAAAATTTTGGAGATAAATTATGAATATAACGCAATTTTGAGATAAAATATAATATAACGCCATTTTTGAGATAATACTATGTTAGTTGTCAAGTACGATGTGGTTATACCCTCTGGATAAACTGAATCTTAAATGTGAAACTACCTGCACAGCATAGAGCCTGCTGCGTTATATCTTTTCGAATACTTCTTAACCTATCCCACATAAAGTGGAACCAGTCTGCCAGAGAAACCTATAAGGAAAATTAAAATTAGATGAAAATACCACACACATAGGAATTGTTTAAGTTAGGTGTTCTTTTAATTAAAGTTGAGATTTTCTATTTATAACTTTGATTTTCGAAATCACAATATTGACTTTGCACTACAAAAATCGCCGTGACAGAGAAAACAGTGTCGCCATACATACAAAAATATATAGAATAGTTCTGAAATAAACTCATTGGGCCTATATAAAATTTTATTTTGAATAGGAATATCTACAGATATTTCAGAATTAAATATAAAGCATGAAGACAAACAGGTACCTTAAGCATCAGACCTGTATAATTTTTTCCCTTTGAGTTTTGTTCAGGTTTCCCTGCTGCTGGCTATATAGTAATCTCTTGTCAATATAGTAATCTCGTATAAAATTATCCAATAGAAACTGTCTCTCACCTGTCGTTTAGTATCAACAATTTCATGCAGCAGATAGGCACATGTGCGCATAAGTACTGCAGCGGGTCGCAGTTCATAGCACATTGGTATTTCTTGATCGGCAGAGCTGCGACTATACTGCTTTACAGCACGCCACCGTTCTAGTTCACCATCCAAACCTGGTATTGTTTCGAAGGTCATGACCTGAAAGATACAAGGTAGTATTGTGTTCATTAAGTATGACAGGAAGACAGCTGCTGTGTAGTAATGAACAAAAATAAATTGCCTGTAAAAGATGACGATTAAGACTGCAATGGATAACTAGAACTGAGATAAAAAAATTTTAAGTTTGGCTAATGGCATGAGTATTATCAATATTGTATATAATACAACGGATGTTATATATTTTGTTTCCATACTTGATGTTCGGCCTGCCTATGCAACATCTCTTTTTCAGGACACATGTCAGGACAAGTGCCGATAGTAGCGCCTCCTATCTTAACTCGCGAACCTGCACCACCCCATGCTCTTAAAATTCTGGAAATATTGAAATAGTATTTTTAGTCATAAGAAATATTTAATCACTATACTTATCAATTGTTCCTCATCATTCCTTATCATTCATTAAATCACAATAGTTTTGTCAAGATTTTTTTATAATAATAATACTTTTTAGTAAATGTAAATTTTTAAACCCTGAAAAAAATGTGACCGTCAGGATGCCTGGTCGCCTGTGGTGTCTGGCACTTAGTGTATTTTCAAGAATTGCTACCTATATGCTACCTTTTCTAAATAATTGCTACTTATCATATATTCTGAGAAATTTAAAAAAATTTTTGACCAGCCATTCTGACGTCAGGATGGCGGGTCGCCTGTTTGTTCAGCATGAAGGAAACAGATTTTCAATAGACAAAATGGGTTAAAAAAACAACTGTCCATACCTATCCCTTGCGTCCAAAATTCTCCATTGCTCATCAGGAGTAAAGGAAACCTTGGAACGCAGCTGATGAAGCTCAGCAGCAGCTTCCGATGTACTGAGACTGGTGTGAGATGATGTCACTGCAATAGTGGATTCTACACCACTTACTGGTCGGAGACTGTAATGGAAATGTAATTGGTACAGACTCTAAAACTCATAATGAAAAACATTAACTTCAAAAGAACAAACTCACAATCCTGTAAGAAAACTTACACTATAGGTTGCTTTTCCCTCACAGGAATTTTTGGTTTTTGCACAAGAGGTTGCTTCAAAGCCCTTTTTACTGTTTTAATTCTGTTTGCTATTGGTGGGGGATCCATGACCATAGCTGCAATATACATTCAAAATTCAAAAAATAATTTGTTAATATTCAGTAAATAATGATCAGCTCTGCCTAATCAGCTAGATATGGATAGTACTTACGTTTTTGTCTGGTAACCTTATAAGTAGGAGCACCACTCATAGCTGATAGCTCTTCCTCAACATCGGGGTCTGGCAGCCAATCTGGATCATCATCTCGCTTGCTCCTTCTTCTCCTGCAGCAATAACTTGGAATTAGGTTGTTTTTGTCAAAACAATCATAGTTCAATGTACAGCCAGTTATATCATGTTAAACCCACGATCAAACCTGAGTGGCACGTCTGAATGTCAACAGTAGGCAAGTGAGGTCATCAAAAACTTGCCAAGGCTTGTCTAGCCCTATATCATTGAAACCAATGATTAAATTATTGTGTTCTGCACTAATACAAGAACTGTAGAATTTTACTAGCTCCTATTACACAGGAGTGATTTACATGTTCAACATAGAACTACAACAGTACAGGGGAAGAAGTGAGTTTTCTAATTCCTGGTAGCATCTATCTTACACGAATTGAGGTTGGACATGTGCTTATTCAAACCATAGTCTCATGACCACACTAAGGAGGTTATTCCTACTTGAGACTTGCTTTTGATACCAACTTACATGCGAGGCTTTGTCCTGGTGACATCAAACATGAACCCATCATAAGCACCAGCATTTAACACAGCTCGCTCAGCAGATATAGGCTGGTCATACTCGACAATGCACATCTGCCTACGTGGTATCAAACGTATCTTAAGCGCTCGTCCAAACTTGCTGAAATGCTTCTCTGCTGCACCCGGTTCAAACAAGCTATCTGGTACATTTGCACAACTGTAAAGTAGAAACTTTAAAAGTGATAGGTCGCTTTGTCATCATAATTTGCAATTACTTAGTTAAATAATATGTAGTAAGTATGCAGTAAGTCACGATTTAAGCTTATTCAGTTTTGTGATGTACAAGCTTCCAGCACAAGTTCTCAAAATTAATTCAAAGGTTGTCATTCCAATGTTACATTTGACCCAATGAGCAAGGTTACAACGTTAAGAGCAAGTGCCCTAATAACATAAAGATAATACAGAACGAAAGTAACGCGTGCCGAGGGTATACGCAATACTCACGTGACTGATGTTTTGTAGTTGAGATTGGCGGTAGCGTCTAAACCTGGACTCTTCAATTTCTTCTTGGGGCTTACTAAACGGTCCATTTTTGTCTATTTACACTTACTTTGAGCCGCAATCAGTGTATTACAACAGTAATTTAATAACGAAAATCATGATAATATCATAAACAAGAATATAATCTGTAAGAGGTTGCTTTCACAAAGCCTACATGTGTACTTGATCCACTGACATGGAATACGATAGAAGCAAGTTATATCACTGATGTTTACGTTGTAACCATTGCAATTTGAGCATCAATTTCAAAGAAAAATGCATAAAAATACCACGCAAAACATTTATTGTGACATTAATGACAGTTGGTTATTTTATGTTTTTAGAGAGTTTTACGGCTTTGGCAGGTGGTGGTTTTAGCCCCCTTTACACAGCCACTATATCGCGAGTTATCAGGAGCAGTGTTGCCAACAGCGCTGGGTGCAATGTCGCCATTTTTCACAACCTTAGTAACCTAATGTAGACGAATTTTAGCTGTGATAGCCTAAAGTGGCTCCTTTAGGCTACTGCTTTAGTAAACCTCAGTAGAATCATATAAAAGTAAATAAATTGATATAATGGGGTAAATAACTGCCTACTGCTCCCTCCAGATGTCACTAGTGTAGAACGTTTGGTTTTGACAGCTAGAGCTATAATTTGTCAGTGTTTTTGTAAACAAAGTCTTCAAGAAATAATTCTCTAATAAAACACTCTGTGCAGCAGTTGATTACAAAAATATGGGAATACATTCATTCCCCAAAAAACTTAATCCAGAAGATTTCGCGGGAGACTCCCGCCGAAACGGATCAACCACAAACAATTTTTCTTTCTTAATGTCACAGACTTTTCATATTTTCATGGGGAGCTTATCTTTTCTTTAATGTGACATATGTACGCTCATTTTTTATTCTTAAGATTGTGAACCGAAAGTAGCCGAATAGGCGACCAGTCGCCTTTCAGATTTTTATCGTTGTTGATTTTCGTCCTAAGTAACCTAAATGGCGATAAATCGCCTAACAGGATTGCGCGCGGAAAAACCTGCACGTACAATCGTGCGCGATTACCTGTTTGAAATTTTTTAAGCTAACTTTCTTTCGCGCGCGATTGCTCGTGTTCGATTTTGTCACAGCGGAAAGAGAGTCCGTCCCCTAATAGCGCAGGATAAACCGCGTGAAACTGGTGCGTGTTGGAGTGCGCGATTGCGCGCGCGACTAATGAACACAATCGCGCGGTTTTTCCTTTTTCCTTCCAACGTGCACGATTGATGTATCACGCGCGGTAGTGTCTGTTTAAAGCCCACTATTGTCGTAACTCAAAATGGTGGAATTGAGAAAACGCGATTTGAAAAAACATACTGAATGGATCTTATCGCGAATAAGGTGATTATGTTCATTTATACATAATACTTAGTTGCTCATTATTTATAAAGGCGAATTTATATTTATTAATTTCATTCAATCATTTAAGTTTTTGAACTTAACTGAAAAAGACATTGTAGTCCTGGGTGTTGGAGGTCATGATGATAATCCCAATTTGTTGCACTCGAACTTTTGCTTAATTTTGAGTAAATTAACGAAATGTACAGTATATATAGTGCCGGTCAACTTTAACTCGGCTCTGAATGAACTAACGTTGAATAATCATCTAAAATTATGGTCACAAAACTTTAAAAACTGTATTTTCATAGAGTCTCTCAATAATGCCCTTATTCGTAAAAAATCGTATTTCACATACCTACTTACACAGAAGTTGAATATGTTGATTGATACTCGTGATTATAATAGTAAATTTTTGTCTCTAAAAAATTGTAAAGATATGAAAAAAATTTCTAAAAATTCAGTTAAACCAATTAAGTCTGATGAATTAAATAAAAGTACATGTCTTTCGACACGTGTTAAGACACCATATACAATTCCATATTTCTTTGAAATTATGAAGAAAAAGGTAAGCAATGGTATAACTTTATCAGATAAAAAATGTTTTCGTCCCTAACTTTGATATTAAAGAAAAACATTCACATTCTCTACTTCATCAATTACAAAAGGAAGAGAGTGTACATGACATGGAATCTGAATCTAAGTATTTTACAATATTCCATCAAAATATTCAGGGATTTCTATCTAAGCTTGACATTTTGGAGATAGAACTAAATGGTAGTAATTATGAGTGCCCAGACGTTTTGTGTTTCACAGAAACTTTCATTAAAGGTGACGAGGAGAACTATATTAAATTAAATAACTACGAATTAGCATCATATTACTCAAGGAACAAGAAACGAGGAGGTAGCTGTATAATGATTAAAAGGGGAATAAGTTATGAAAGAATTCATTTGTTTGATGAGATTTCGGCTAATTTCCATTTTGAGTGTTGTTCTATATTAATACCTGAAATGAAGTTTATAATTATCTGTATATACAGGTCATCCTTAAAAAAAAAGTACATTGATATCTTCCTCGATACATTTGAACTATTACTCCATAAAGTTTTTAAAAAATATCCCAAGCACAATATAATAATTTCTGGCGATCTCAACATAAATCTATGTACCAAAAATCGTGTAACAAAGTACTTTAGTGATATGCTTGAGAACTATAAATTGATATCGCATATAAATGATGCTACAAGGTTAAACTCATGTCTCGACCTCATGATAAGTAATGTAAGAAAAGCCACAGGAAAATTGCTGCATTTAGCATTATCAGATCATGATACGGCACAATTACTTGTTACACCAATTAAGAAAAAAATAACTCTTGTAAAAAAATTGTATATGTTTAAAAGAGATTATTCTAATGAGAACATTAAGAAATTTCGAGATTATCTGTGTAGTCTGTCATTTTCGGACGTTACCAAAAAACGTCGATTAAACGAGGCATTTGAATGCTTTCATGAATGGTTCCATCTTCTGTATAAATTGTATTTTCCAAAAATAAAAATAAAAATCACTAACCAACACGTTAAACCAATTTGGATAACGGTTGGTCTTAGAAAAAGTTGTGTAACCAAGCGGAAATTACGATTAAATTTCTACAAAAACAACAACCCTCTTAATAAAAGTAAGTACTCCAAATACTCGAAGCTACTAAAAAAGTGTCTCAACTTATCACAAAAAATTAGTAATGATGACTATATAAATAAATCTAAGAATAAATGTAAAGCAACTTGGAATTTAATTAATAAAAGAAAGAATAATTGCAATTTGGAGAACCACTTCATTAAACAATTAAATATTAATGAGTATACAATAACCGATCCCAATGATATTGCATCAGAATTTAGTAATTATTTCATAAATGCGATTGAAGTGAGCAGTAACAAGTATAATAATACATGTACTTCGATTACATCTCATAGCATTTTTCTTGAGCCAGTTAATATAGAAGAAGTACATAACACTATCTCATCATTAAATAATACTAATGCAGTGGGTTATGACGAAATTACCACTAACATAATTAAAAAATGTAAGACTGAATTGGCTCCGATTCTCGTATATTTAATAAATCTGTCGTTTGAAGAAGGTATTTTCCCAGATGTACTCAAAGTGTCTATAATTAAACCATTTCATAAAAAGGGTGACAAAAAAAATATCACAAACTATAGACCAATAACACTTATACCTATAATGTCTAAGATATTTGAAAAGTTAATGCATAAGCGAATAATGAAATTCACAAACAAATTTAACATAATTAAAAATAATCGATATGCTTTTAGAGCCGGTAAGTCGACGACTTTAGCATGTTTTCAGCTAATGCACAAAATAATTACCAATTTAAACGACAAAAAGAATACAGTTGGTATATTCTTTGACATGTCGAAAGCTTTCGATTTTGTAGAGCACAACATACTAATAAGTAAACTGGAAAATTATGGAATCAGAGGTATAGCCTTGGAATGGATGAAGTCTTACTTGAAAGATAGGAAGCAGTGTGTAGAGATTGTAAACGTAGGTACAAATTCTATAATTAAGACATTCAGATCAAAATATAGAGTGAACGGATATGGTGTTCCTCAAGGAAGTGTGCTAGGGCCTCTTCTATTCATCTTGTATATTAATGACCTCCCAAATGTAACGAATTATGATTGTGTTCTATTTGCAGATGACATTTCAGTAATTGTACCAATTGACAAAACCACTGACATAGAAACTAATGAATTAAATTTAAATGACACACTAATTTCAATAACAAAATGGTTAAAATTAAATAATTTGAATGTTAATATTAACAAAACTAATTATATACAATTTGTAAATCACTGTGGACGTAAATATAAACTTAATATAAATCATGAAGGACAGCCATTGAAGGAGTTAAATGATACTTGTTTTCTCGGACTTCAAATTGATGATCACTGCAACTGGAAATGTCACATAAATAGGGTCTGTAACAAAATAAGTGGCTATGTGTATATGATGTGTCAGCTTAAAAGAACAGCAATGAGTCAAACCTTACTCACAGCCTACTATGGTCATGTTGAGTCTCATCTTAGATACGGACTATTGTTATGGGGAAACAGTACTGATGCTGACAGGGCCTTCAAAGCCCAGAAAAGATGTGTGCGTGCAATGTATGGGGCGCCACCAGACCAGTCGTGTCGACCTTTATTCATAAAATTTGGCATTTTGTCTCTCCCTAGTCTGTATATATATGAGTTGTGTATATTTGTACGAAATCACGAAGGTTTGTTCAAACGAGTTAAAGATAATTTAAACCGATATGTAAGGCACCAAAACAGGCTTGTTGTGGACTCTATACCCAGAACAGCATTATACGTGAAGAGTTGTTATGCAATGTGTGTCAAGGTCTATAATAGTTTGCCTGAAACTCTCAAGTCACAACCAATAAATAAATTTAAATACTCACTAAAGCTTTGGCTAAAACAAAAAACATTTTATGATGTAAATGAAATATTTGATTAGGTTAGGTATATTTTTATGTAATGTGTACTGTATTGTGTATGGACATTTAATTCTTTGACATGGTTTTTATTATGATTTTATTTTATTTTATTGCTTCTTTTTTGACATTCTTTAGTCTTTAATGCACATTTAATTTGAAATATTGTATTGTATTATGATTTAAAAAACCATAATTGTATATTGTATGTCAGAAATGACTAAAAGTGTGAAATTACATTATATAACTTTTCCATCCATTGTACCACTTTTAAAACAATAAACG